ATTGAATAGTTTGAGCCAAAATACACAGTTTGTTAAATTTATTTATTTTTAGTTGATATCATTTGTGTCATATAGGCCTAAAATTGAGGTCATCTAAAAGTTTGTGACTGAAGTGACTTCACACATTTTTATTTCTATATTATCCACAATTATGAAACTATATTTTTTATGAATATAAATAATATATTATGTTAGTTATTGTTATTTTTTTATTATAACACATATTTTTTTTTCTTAAGAGAATGACAAAGAATATATTATTACTAAATTGGTGCAATAAACAAATTTAATGCATCAACTATTTTTTTTTCTTATCTTATATAATAAATATTTGTTTTATAAAAATGAATTTTACTCATTTTATAATTTATGTAATACAATCTAAAATGTATTTTTTTCATTAATGTACAATTTTAAAAATTATATTAAATTACATTTTGCATAATTACATGTAAAAAATAAGAAATTTCTTAGTGACATGAACACAAATAATTATTGGCATTTTTGTAACTTTACAAAAAGTGATTTATCTTGCACGTCATTATGATCACAATCAGACTTATTTTGCAAAAAAATAAATTATTGAATTTATTTTTACAATTAAAAAAAAGTGGAAAAATATAGTAATCAAAATTGAGTATTTTTTCTTAAGTGCATTTTTTTTAATTTAAAATGACTAATATTTGTACATTGTTATTTGAATTATTCTATACCAGATTATCTATAGAATAGAAATAATGTATTATGTTATTATCGAAACAAATTTGGAAAAAAGTTTCAAGAAGTGTCATTAATGTGACAAATACATTTTTATGTCAAATATCACTAATATTTTTCTAAGTAAAATTAATTTAGTTTAAAGATTATATATATATATTGTATTTTGTAGTCACAATCAATTATATGTTGTTGTTTCTAGAGTCATGAATCTCTGTTATTTGATGATTGTTATTTATGATGATAATGGTGATAATGAATATAATTCATCCACTACTGATATTATATTTAAGAAAATAATTCAAAATATAATAAATAATATTTTCATCTATGTCATTTTTAACATCAAGCTGCGCAACGCGCGGGTGCCGTACTAGTTAATAAATATTTTGCTGACTTCCAAACAGTTCACCACTTCTGTTTTTAAAAATGCCCATCTTGGGAGGGAATTGTATTTGTACAGAAGAGAAGTTAATAGTTATACTTAATAGTCGGTGAAAAAAAATTAAAAAATAAAAAACAATTGAAAAATATAATAAAATATATCCATTAAATTATTGCTGCCCAATGCATGTTTGGTCTGACATTGTGCATATAATAATGCCAGTCAGTACTCACTTCGTATGCACCCTAGGATCGCTAAGGAGTCAATAGTTGGCTTCGTTATGGAGCCAACAACCAATTGGATAATTCCATGTGGGGCTGTCCCACATTAAAGTATTGTGGGACAGTCCTACATGAAGTTGTCTCATTGGTTATTGGCTCCGGAACGGAGCCAACTGTTAGCTCTTTAACATTATTGCCCCTAGGATTCCCTCATTTACTTTGAAATTATTTAAAACTCACTAGTTCAAGCAATAAGCAGCTTAATGCCGTCTAAGAAAAAATGTCGGGTTCGAGTCTTTGTTGATGCAGAACACTCTTGTTGCGAGACTCACCTATCACTACTAGGTGTGCGACCCGGGTCGACCAACGAATTAGTCGGGGCATAGCTCCAGATACCATGACAGACTACCAAAAAAAATTTATTTAAATTTTATTGTTATTTTATAATTAGAAAAACCAGTGGGGATTCAATTTGTAGAGATGTCAGTATTAGTTGCCAGAATTAAGGGAAACAATAAATTAGTTAAATAACGTTCAGAAACCACTTGGATAATTCCAATATTCGACTACGATTTGACAATTGTAGGATATGAATAAATAAAAATTAATTATTTTTAAATTATTAATAATTTTATTAATTAATACTGTATATATAAAATGAACTAAGTTGTATTATTTAATATTAAAAAAAGAATTAGAGGATTTGTGAAATATAAAGAATGTGTAGAATATAAAATTGAGATGTAGAGGATTAATCACTATTCTTATTGATAATCTTGTAAAAATAATATGCTGTGTTTATTTGTATTTGTATTTTCTCTTAATGAGTTTTATTAAGTGTTTAAAGTGTCCTTTGATTGAACCTCTTCTTCTCTTATTTACAGTGCCATGTAGCATTATTTAGAGCCTTGAAAGTACACTTATCAAACTTTTCTAACCATATCCATATATTTTTTATCAGATTGACATTCTTCGTTAGATTGTCATTCTTCTAACACATTGACATTGTTATGATCAAATCGTCATGTTTCTGGAGAGATACACTTTTCTGGTCAGATTGACATATTCTT